TCCCGAGCTCGGCGTCTGCCCGGTGCCTCCCTGCGCGCCGGGGGAGGGGAGCGAATGGGGCACCTGCTTCCGTCTGGGTCGCCTTCCTCCATCCCTGGCTGCGGTTCGGACGAGGCTCTGTGGAAACGGCGCCCGGGCCGGGTTGAGCGGGGGTTCAGCCCCGCTTTCCCGGCCGCCGGCCCCGGCGGGGGGTCCGGCGAGGTGGCTTTTCCTTCTTTGTTATTGTGCGTGTGCCTTTTTTTAGGACGCTTATGCAAATCTCGTTGTCCTTGCACCGAGTGCCTGCCTTCAGGGAAGTTGATAAGGCGGAATGCATGGGAGGCGGTACCTGACGGCTCCCAGCTAGCTGCCTTGGCCTAGCCCAGCTAACCATGAAGTGTGTCCAAATACTTTTGGATTTCACTAGAGCAAATATGCCGAAATTAACGGATTGAGTAAGAGGGAGCCATTTTTGTGTGTTTTCCCAGTCTGCCGTTCATCTTGCCTTCTGTTTTTGCTAGTCTCGGCTTCAAATCAAGGAATTCGGTAACTCTTGAATGGGTACAACAGGGCAGGGTTTTGGGGAAGTCAAATGTCCTTTGTATTCTGTAAGCGTGCAGACCTACTGGAGGCAAGACTTAAGTACCTGGTCAGAAGAAGAGGAATGTGGTACCTCATTATACCCTCCTTTGTTCCCTTTGTACTCAACGGTAAAAGGAAAGATCAGTCAACCAGTTATTGGGTGGAGGTGATACCTAGCCAGTAAACTTCAAATTTTACAACTGTGTGTCTTTTTGGAGCTCCCTGTGTTCCTATTCATTCACCAGCGAGCTAAAGACTTTGACAGAAGACAGTTTGGAGTGCTTGAGTGAGGCTTCTCTTTTGACTAGCTTTCTAGAATAGTCTCTGTTTTGATTGTCTTAGCCTTGGTGAGATGGCATGCTCTCATAAGAGCCATCTCATCTCTTCCTAATAAATCCTGAGTTGTGGCATACCTAGCAGAAAACGCTAAGAACTTGCAGAAATACTAAAACATTTTTCTGGGTTCTTTTCAAGTTTTTAACATTTACAATGTATAATTCTGCATCACTCACTCTGCATCTTAAGATTCCTTCTCTCTTTGCATTTCTACTTGGCTATCATCTTGGTTATCTGTATCTACTTGGTTATCATCTTGGCTCTGATTCTTTGCAGCTGTAGTCACCATTCTCCTGCTCTAGGCTTGAGGTGGCTTCATTCTTTGTTTCTTGTTATGTTTTTTTCCTCTTTGTTTCTCTTACTGTCTGCCTTAATCATTTCTTCATTCTTCCTTTTTGGTGGAATCTTTTCTTATTGGTAGACTCCCTCCAATGGAAGAAGTCCATTTTTTCCTCCTTTTGTTTTCATTGATCTTCAGTGGTTTCAAGGGGCTACTCCTGAAGTGGTTCTTTCTTTATCAGTTCTTGTTCAACTTCTGGTGATTCTGCTTTCCTCAGTATCACTGAAGTAACAGTTTCCTTTGATCTTGAGAAGTAAGAGAAGAATTTTAATGTCACTTTTTCCAGTGCTCAGTGTGGAATAGATTTAGGGCTCCTCTTAGTGGTAGGATTTTAATAGAGCAGAGGCAAATTGATCTACTTTAGGTAAATATTAAAATGACTTCTGATATTCCTCTCATCTCAGAGTTTATAGCTTTCACGATTGTCTTTTCTATTTTAAGCAGTTTTCTTCTTGAAGAAAGCTGGTTTAATAAAGAAGAAATAAAAAATGCTGTTAAATTTGCAGTGTAGACAGATGCAAACCCTGAGAGAGTAAGAATATTCTCATTTCTCTGTTGTATTTACCCTACTTATTACTTTTAATAGTAGAATTCAAGAGTAAATTGTCTTGGGTATGAGGTAGGTCCCTTCAGGAGTTTTGACCACTGTAGGTAAAGAATTCCATACTATCTGTTCAGAAACAACACTCTTGAGTTGAGCAGTAGATTTTCCAGTCCTCCTGGACATACAGGAGGACAATACATGGCAGGATATGGGGTGCCTGCACTCGACATAAGGTCGCTCTGCTTATCTAAAGAATTGATGTTAAGCCAGTGCAATTAAGTGAATTAGAAACTTTGTTTGCTATGCAAGACAAAGTAAGTTAAACTTAAACCAATGTAAAAACATTAATGTGTGCAAACACACAGTTTTGCCTGTTGACTTGAATTGTTTCAATGCAGCGTGTTCAGATAAACTGATTTAACTTTGTGTACACAAATCAATTGCACAGTTACAAAGGTAGTGCTTTACATGTTAAAGTTAGGAGGCTTTCATGGTAGATTCAGGAAACCGGAGTGTGTCTAACCCAATATAACCTTGGCCACCACAGTGTAGGCTTCTATTAATAGCAAGGGAATCAAATGTGGAGCCTACTTAAGAACTTTATCTACCATCTCCCTGCTCAGATAAAATTTTGTGTAGATACTGTATACGAATATTATAGTAACAGTAGTTTGTTTCTGTTGGTTCTTGTTATCTGGTCTTCATGTTCAGAGTCTTTTTATTTGATGCATCTCAAAAAATACTTCTGATGAAGTCCTAGTTAACTGATCTGCTGTAAAGGAAGTCTCTCCAGCTTACGATCTGGAATATCTTTTAATTTTCTTTAGGGTGGCTAATGTAAATCTAGAGATGGTTTGGTCTGAGGTGTAAGGATGTGAGTGTTAATCTTTTATTACTAATTAAATCTATAATTAACTTTGTAGAGATAACCGAGTGTTAATTTTTTAGTTCTGATGCCTTTATATAAGGAAGCTGGAATATAGCGTAATAGACGGATGCTGATTTGCTTTAGGTACCTTGTGTAGTTCTCATTTGTTTTAGAAAAATCAGATTGTCACACTCTTGAACCTTTTGATTCTCATGCAAATGTTAGTGTTTTTGATTATTAAGTTAATTACAGTTTGTCTGATCTACTAGAATGTAACTTAGACTTTAGAAAATATCCAAGTTTGTAAATTTAGCTGTTTGTCAAAGTATTAAAAACTCTAGCTGTGGCAAGGTTTAATAGATTTTAAGATCCAGTGATATGTCAGTAGGTGAAAATAGTTTGTAGTCCTTCCCATATGGTATCCAGCCATGGGCAAATGAAATTTTGCAGCTCTAGCAGAGATAATTAATAATGTTTTGAAGAAGGCAAAATATTCAGTTTTAAAGCACTTACAGTAGACATATGCTCATAGTTCAGTAGGTGAGTTCATCTGTTGGAGGAAAAAAAAACCCATGCAGTCGGACAGGGGGAAATGCAAACAAGTATTTTTTGGTTGGTAGATGATCTTGTGTTATAATGAAACTTGATAGTTTATAAAATAAGCTTGAAGAAAGCAATATGCCATGTGGTTATAATAAGAGTATAACTAATCAGTAATCTGTTACTGATGAGTACCATCTTGTTTCTGTGGCTGTCTTGTTCTGATTCCCCTTTAAGTGTGTAGACAATAACCTGATATACTAGACAGTCTCTACGCTTTGGCTATTTCATTCCCCCGTGTCCTGTTTCTGAGTATGCCTCACTGTGTGTTGACTTATTTGTTAAATTAATCATGTGGGAAGCAGATGTTTTAGTGCT